TTTTGCTCTATGGCTTATATTTTTTGTTTTTTGAAAGGATTTAGACACTCAGGCACTGAGCGTTTTGAACTGCTTTTCTCCCTCTGAGAATTCTGTAACTTTACATGTATTCCTTTCTCTCGTGCAGTTATTTGCGAGATGGCCATGGAAGATACTGAATGTTAGCTTACTAATAGGATGGAGGATATGATGTCAACCCAGTAGCATGGTTCAGCCACTCAGCTAGGCACCAGGGGAGAATGCCCTCAGGTTCATTTTTCAGACATGAGGCCATGGCCGGGGAGACTGGCTTCGTAGGTAACAGTGCCACCACCACCACTCCCCCTGCTGTTGCCTCCACCACCAGGAAAGCAGTGGTAGGCCAGTGTCTAGTCTTTGGTTTGTAGTTACAGAAAATGAACTCTTGTCAACACATGCAGAGTGTGTCAAGTTTTCCAGAGATCAGCCAGCATACCAGCTTAGTCGTTGTTCATAAGAAGTACAACTGTATAACAGGCTGAGTGACATTCGGTGATCTGTGTAGGCCTTCCCTCCCTCTGTGCCTTTGTAGACACCCAAGAGTGAGTGTGGAGGCTGAAAGGGAAAAAGAGAGTCTCCAGGCTTAATCCATGAGAGTCCCAGAGAAACTTGATAAAGCATTTGATCCTAGAGAATGCCTCTCTGATCACTAAGGATCAGGTCCTCTATTTTCAGAGTCCCTTACCGCTTTCACAGTCCTAGATAAGCACCAACAAATTCTGCCCATCTCCTGACTTCCAGTCAAGTCATGTTCTTCCTGGCCTTGGATATTCTGCCTCTAAGGTGTGGGTATCTGTTGTGACTTACTATACTTTAATTTTTTTTTATCGATTTAATGAGTGGAAAGTACTAAAAGGAAGTTTAATGTTTTCTAAAATTATGAGCCTACACCTATATGATTGTACTTTTTATAACTAATAGTTGCTCTCAGAATAGTCTTTGACAAGTTGTGATTGACTGGTTATATTTGATATGAACAAATTAATACTGGGTGAAAGCAGCAACATACCTGATCTCTTGCTAGGACATTGTGCCTCATATTCTGTATAGTGTGTCCAGTACTGTGCACCTTTTGGTGTAGATGAAAACTAAAAAAAACACTGGGTAATCAACAGACCCAGCAAAATGACTGTGACTATTGACTTATAATTCTGCCTCTCCTTCCACTCATGTTCTTCCCAATGTCTGTGCTTAAAATAGACCTTCCACTCACAGTTACTGCTGCTGCTCTTTCCTATAGGTTTGTATCCCATACAATACCCAGACACCTAGTATATCTGCTCTAAATAAATGAACATGCCTGGGAGAGGCTAATGGCTGTAACTGCTTTGAGTAATACTTGCAGTATAATTTTCTTGCTTCTTGGGAAGCATTAATTGGGAAGATTATTCTCCTACCTTCAAGCAGTATGATGTAAATAGGGTTGTTTGGCCATATGGAAAACAGGATAGAAAACACAAATGGTTTGTGTATTTTTTTTTTTAAATAATTGATGATTTGTGTATGACATTGTGATATAATAAGAAATGCATATTTGGACTTTGTCATAGAGTACCTAAAATCCTTGTGATTTCCTGAGTAATAGAGGTGATAGGAGTATCTTTTGTTATATATTTGGCCTTAGTTCCCAGTTCTTGATACAATAGCTTCTTTCCAAGATCCTTGGACTTTCCAGAGTGATGAGTAAGTTTTGTATGCTAATAAGATGACAGGTAGCTTAGCCCTGTCGTCTAGATGGCTTCAGGATAGGGGCTGGTCACCAGGAAGACCCAGGCCTGATCAGAGGGAAGGGCAGTATATCTAGAGATGGCATAGGAGCCCTATGTCCCTTCCTCTGTACCATGTCCTATGTGTCTCTTCCATTTGGCTATTCGTGAGTTGTATCCTTTTTTTTTTTTTTTTTTTGAGTGGGAGTCTCTCTCTGTCGCCCAGACTGGAATACAGTGGCGCTTCTGGCCACAGCAGCCTCGACCTGCTGGACTCCGGCGATCCTTCCACCTCAGCCTTCCAAGTACCCGGAATTACAGGCATCCACTACCACGCCTGGCTGATTTTTTTTTTTTAATTTATTGTAGAGATGAGGTTTCACCGCCCAGGCGGGTCTCGAACCCGCGGGCTCAGGCAATCCACTCACCTCAGCCTCCCAAAGGCACGGGATTACAGGCTGAGCCACCGAGCCCGGCAGGTTGTATCCTTTTTAACAAACCAGTAATAGTAAGTAAAGTGCCTTCCTGAGTTGTGTGAGTCATCCTGGCAAATTATCGAGCATGAGTAGGGGAATGTGGGAACACCTCAGTTTTATCTGTCAGTGAGTACAGTCCTTCAGCTGTTGGGATCTCATGTGAACTCCAGGTACGGAGTGTCAGAATTGAATTGATATTCAGCTAGTATCCAGAGAGTTGCACAGTGAGTTGATGTGAGGGGGAAAGTATACATATTTGGTGTCAGAAGTGTGGAAGCAGAAACAGGTCATCGTGACCTACATACATTTTTGTTACCCTTGTGGTAGCAGGTACCTATGCACGTCAGCATGAAAATATGAATTCTAGTCATAGATGATACAGCTGACAGGGCTGCTGTCCTGGTACATGAGGGCATCTGAAGTGACCAATGTACAACCAGGAGATGCTTCCAAGACTAACGAGCTGTTGTCATCAGTGTTGGTTTGCAAATCAAGTTGCAAGTGTATGCATTACTCAAAGATATCATTCACCCAAAAACATATTGTGTTTAATACAGTTATCTCACACGTTTGGTGATTTTCTTGTTTTTGTTTTTTTGTTGTTGTTGTTTGTTTTTTTGTTTTGTTTGTATTAAACCAAAAGGAGTGGAAGGATGTTGTTGTTTCCATTATTGTTTCTTTTTCACTCATTTGTGCATTACGTTGGGAGAAAGGAGAGCTACTCCTGGAGATTTCCCAACATGGACCACTATGTTCCAGAAGTATCAGTCGTTGAACTGGAGAACTGTTTAACCCTTTTCTCCTCTCACGTGTCCTTTTCTTGTGTTTCTGTTTCTGCAGTATGACCATCTTAAATGCAGACAAGCATTAACTTTAGCATTCATAGAAGAATTTTAGAGCATTCAGGCATTTGGTTGCTATCAGATTCACAGGTCAGCTCTTTGGTTGTGTTTGTTCCTTGTATAGTGGAAGCATACTATCCTCAACAAACCATGAGTGTTCAGGAGAAGGATCTTTGTCTCAAAGCACAATTGAGTCAAAGTATCACAGAATATCTTCACATCAGGATCATGCATGTATTTTTCTAAACTCATTTTTCTTTTGCTTTGTGTAATAATCTTATGTTAGTTGTTGCCATTCTAAATGGAATGGCAATGAAGATATGTGATCCTGTGGCCTTAAAACAAACAAAAGATAAAAACCACATTTCTGTATCCAATAGAGGGTGATATTCATATCTAGCAATGAAAGAACACATTTGTAAAAGCCAATTTACAGTTTAGACTCTTCTTGAAATACATCCAAGACTGTGTTCTGCTCTTCAGTTGTCACAAAGCCAAGTGAAAAGTGAGGGGTGTCAGGTGCCCCTGTCATCGGGCCTGGGGTTTTATTGCCAGGAGGAGACACCATGTGCTCTGCATTGGAGCCTCAGTAGAGACTGGTCCAGGCTAGCCTCTCATTCCAGTCATCACTCATCACTAGAAACTTCTGTCTTCTCTTCCCACCATTTAAGAAATACACAAAGGTGCTGGACACGGTGGCTCATGCCTGTAATCCCAGCAGTTTGGGAGGCAGAGGCGAGAGGATAGTCTGAGTCCAGGGGTTCGAGTCCAGCCTAGGCAACTTTGCAAGACCTTGTCTCCACAGTAAATCAAAAAGTTAGCTGGGCATGGTGGCACATGCCTGTATTTCCAGCAAGTTGGAAGACTGAGGTGGAAGGATCCCTTGAGCCCAACAGGTTGAGGCTGTGGTGGCCATGGATGTACCACTGCACTTGAAGCTGTGCGACAGAGTGAGACTCCAACTCAAAAAAAAAAAAAGAAAAGAAAAACAAAAAATAAATACACAAGTGTAATTATTTAAAGCATACTGGCAATACTTAATCAGGCTCTTGATTTTCATCCATGGTTTGAAATAAAAATCAAAATGGAAACTTGGTTTGAATGTAAGGCAGACCAAGAAAAATATTTTTCAGACTCACTTCATGTATTCCCCTTTTTTGTAATAGGCTCATTTTCCAGATAAAAATACACAAATGCTTTTAAAAGGAATCTGCTTGAGAAACTTAGGAAAAAAAAAAATTTTAAGTTTGGTAAACTGAATGTCTTTGTTTCACGATGTATATCTTGTTCTGTACCAATTCTAATAGTTTACTGTCTTCCATTAAAATAATATGTCAATTGATTTGTGACTTTCTTAGAACTTGCAGAATGAGATATGACATTACGTTTGGGAAAGGATACTAAACTTTAAATTTCTAATTTAGAAATTTTCTCTTTGGGTTATTAGTAATATCTCATAGGTCTTATTTTTATTATTCAGTTAGCTTCAGTAAAGCTATTTAAAATTTGTTTCTGATGATGTAGATCCCTCCAAATAAGTCAATCTTGACTTAAAATAAATTTTTACTATTAATTTATTTTTAAAAAATAATGAATGTCAAGGGATCTTACCTTTCTGTTTATATGAATGAGATTTATTAACAAGTCTGAATGTATAAGCCAACTATTTTTATATGCTAGATACTAGGTGAATGTATTTAAATAACAAATTCTTAACTTTAGTTATCAAAATAAGATTATTAACTAATAAGAAATATGCTGAGTAACTTCAGTGTTCACCAAACAGGCAGAAATCACAAAATGATTTTCTTTTTACAAGTTGGATGGTGCCAGGTAATATCCTCCTTGTTTAATTGTGGCATAGAAGATATTTAATAAAGCTTAATTGTATCTCCTCTGGAATAAATTGGATCCTGCAGTTGCCAACGAACTTCAATGGTGACTTTTTTCTTTTACAGTGCTCCAGCTGAGACTGCAACAGAGGAGGACAAGAGAACAACTAGTGGACCAGGGCATCATGCCACGTAAGATTGACAGCATCACTGTCACCTCCAATGTGCTATGATAAGATGAGCATGTCCCAAAAGAACCTGTGCCCCATTCCACTTTCAGTTATATCCATTTAATCAACAAACAATTGCCAAATGAATTTATAAGGAAAAATCAGGCATCAGCATTACCAACCTAAGAGAATCATTTAGAATATATTTTTAAAAAGTAGACGCAGTTTAAAAGATGAACTTGAATTTTACATTATATGAATACCTTTATACTGTAATTAGGCTAACATCCATTCTTACTTAAAACTTTAGTATTTGTTTTACTTTTGAAATGACTGGAGTAATCACTCTACTAATGGATCTGAGATTAGTTCGATTTGCAAAAGTAACTTGCTGAAATTAATTCACAACTTTGTTCTATTTGAATTTATTTCATTCAGATTAGTTATTTTTGGTGCTATACTATGGTCTATATACTGTAATGAAATGTACCTCAGTTACAGTTCTGATAAACATTCCATTTATAATTAATAAGATGTTTTGGCACAAGTACAGATATTTCCCTAATATTTCTAGGGTTTGTTCCTTTAAGAGATTGTTGGTAGTGGATTAATTTTAAAATATTGGTTCAAGTTTTTTTTCTTTTTCTTTCTTTTATTTATTTATTTTTTTTGAGTTGGAGTCTCTGTCACCCAGACTGGGGTGCAGTGGCCGCTCCTGGCCACTGCAGCCTCGACCTGCTGGTCTCTGGCGATCCTTCTGCCTCAGCCTTCCAAGTAGCTGGAACTACAGGCATGCTCTACCACACCCAGCTAATTTTTTTGATTTATTGTAGTGATGAGGTCTCGCCAAGTTGCCCAGGCGGGTCTCGAACCCGCGGGCTCAGGCAATCCACTCACCTCAGCCTCCCAAAGCATGGGATTACAGGCTGAGCCACTGAGCCCGGCTTGTTTTTTTTTTTCTTTAACCTTTACCCACCAAGTTTGGAGGTGATTTTATATTTTAGAGGGGAAGAGTGGCTGTTTTGTGTAGGCTATTAGGATTATTTATCTGGATTTTGTCTAAAAATTAACTTTCCTAAGAGGTAACTTATTCAGTTTTAAAACAGTAGAAAGAAATTACAAAATGAATTTATACTTCTCAGTCTTCTGAATCATTGCTAGCCCATAAGCCTTCTTGGTTTATAGTAAGGAATGGTTTTTCTCTATCATAGATATTTTTCCTAGTGAGACTTTTTTTCAGGATTACTATTAATTGAGTATCTAAATATCTTAAATCTAGCATTGTGATAGTCAAAAGCTGCTTTGATAATTTGCCAGATTTCTCCTCCACTACATTTCTGACTATGAACCAATCAATCAAACAGGATCAGATTATGATGTTGAATACATCACTGCTAGGCTAGTTCTAATCTGCTTTTGGGAGCTGGTGCCTAGCCAAACCTGATTGGGCTGGACTCCTGAGAGTCTTTTTGCTACTTCAAGTACCAGAGCTGAAAATAGTGCTGTCAGAGTTGATTGACTAGTCATGGAGGTAGGTGACAGCCCAAGAAATCCTTGTCCCGTATCCCATCCACTTATTGACTTCCCATGCTTGTAAGTGTAGAATGTTATCAGGCATTGGTGGACATACACGAAAAACATTTTGCAAAGATAATTAATAGAAATACTATTGTAGGTGATGATTTGGTAAACACTGCTTGCCCTTACACTGAAATTCTAAAATAATAGACTGACAGCATATTAAACAGTCACTGTATCTTTTGAGTGAGTTGCGCTGTGTTATGACAGAGCATGAACCTTTCAAATTCAGAATCCTAGGTTTAAATCCCACTTTGACCACCATCTGGCTGTATGATGAAGAATTCACTTAACCCCTTTGAGCCTCTCATATGTACTGGGGTTAATACCTGCCTTGCCAGGTTGTTGTGAAGACCAATAGCAACATAATTGTGATTGACCACAGAGCACAGAGCTATGCCCATTGTGGGTTCTGGGCAAATGGTTCCTCAGATGTATTGGGCATGGAGTAGACTGTGTCCCCATGTTCACGGTTAGATCACTCTGGAGGACATTTGGGCTTTTTCCAGTGCTTATATGGCCATTAAGAGCAAAGACCTGTCAAGGAATCATCAAACAGTTTCCTGGGCAGTGGAAATTTGCCACAACTAGTGGAGAACTAGCCTGGCCTGGTATTTGCTTTATCATTATGTATACAACCCTATTTTAAATGTCTATTTGTATTATTTGTGAAACACATAATTTTTATTCTGTAATATTTAAGGTTTCAAGTTTTGCAGATCTCCTAAAGGACCTAGTACATAAATGAAACTGTATATGTGAACCAGTAGGATTATCAACAAGATACATTGTAACTTTGGACTAAAGTATGAGCCCCCGTATTTATACTGTAGAAACGATTTTTTTTCCCCTCACAGCTTTGAAGAGCCCAGCCGCATTCCATGAACAGATAAAAAGCTTGGAACGAGCCAGAGTAAGAAATTTTACTTTAAAATGTTATACTTCTCTCCTTTATTCTAAATTACCTATGGACAAGTAACAGTCTTACTCTCAAATATGTCAGTGGAGAAAATATAGCATATTTTTAGACTACATGGCATAGAGAGTATTTACTCGGTGGGTGGTTTGATCTTGGAGGTTTGTGGAAAATATGTGACATTCCAATTTTGTTCTTTTAAAACCAGTAACTCGTTTTGTTCATAAAGGACAAATCATACTTTACTTTCTTGCTCTCAAAGTATAGCCACAGTTTTTAGAGACATAATAGGGGAGTAATTCTGCCATTTGTTACCCCTGCTGAGGGACAGCCAAGTGATGTGCTGACACCAGAAACCTGGGTAGTTTCCTCTTAGATCTGTGTTACCTGTATGTTTGACCAGGGGCAGGAGAATTTGGCTAAGTTAGAGAACCTTGCATACCATGTTGGCATTTAATATTTTTCTTTAAAAGTGCCATGATGCATATTCATTTGTTTGGGGGAAAACTTTTACATGCAATATGAAAATAAACATATTTTAGCCAGGCTCGGTGGCTCAGCCTAATCCCCCGCTTTGGGAGGCTAAGGTGAGTGGATTGCCTGAGCCCATGGGTTCAAGACCCACCTGGGCAACTTGGCAAGACCTCATCTCTACAATAAATCAAAAAATTAGCCGGGCGTGGTATCATGCGCCTGTAGTTCCAGCTACTTGGAAGGCTGAGGCAGAAGGATTGCCGGAGCCCAGCACATCGAGGCTGCAGTGGCCGGGAGTGTGCCACTGCACTCCAGTCTGGGCAACAGAATGAGACTCTAACTCAAAAAAAAGAAAAAGAAAATAAACATATTCCAAAATTTTCTTAAGAATTTTCCTAGAATGTAATAATGATCTCTTAGAATTTTATAGAATATAAAACTCACTTTGAAGCCCTATTGCTTAAGAGTTGAATACAGTTTGAATTAAGAAAATATGGTCAGGAATTTGAAAATACATTAGAATGTTTAAGAAATTTGCTATGGAAGTGGATTTCTACTTGATTTAGAGGGTAGATTGTACTGATTTTAGATATTTAAGTGATCTAAATTTTTTTATTCAAAAATTATCTTCAAAATCATGAGTTTTAGCATTGCCTTTTTTTTTTTAGTAGGAGTCTCTGTTACCCAGGATGGAGTGCAGTGGCACGCTTATGGCCACCGCAGCCTCGGCCTGCTGGGCTTAGGTGATCCTTCTGCCTTCGTCTTCCAAGTAGCTGGAACCACAGGTGTGCACCACCACACCTGGCTAATTTTTTTGATTTATTGTATATACAAGGTCTCACCAAATTGCCTATGCTAGTCTTGAACCCCTGGAGTCAGGTAATCCTCTTGCCTCTACCTCCCAAAGTGTTGGGATTACAGGTGTGAGCTACTGTGCCCGGCATTGCCAGGTTTTAAAATAAAAGTTTATAAAGTGCTTACCAACATACTCTTAAAGTCTTTGTACGATTTTGAAGGCTGCTTGTATTGGATAATAGTTTTTCTAAGTACTAATTTCTACTCTTTTCTTCCTCCAAAGCCATGACCAAAAGTATATACAATCTATTTAAGTGGAGTACCTTGAAAAAATTTAAAACTACAATAAATCATAATTTATAGTAAGAATGTCTTTCTTTTTTTAAAAAGACCGAAAACTTTTTGAAACACAAGATTCGGAGTCGTCCAGATCGTTCTGAACTTGTCAGGATGCACATTTTAGAAGGTAAAGGTTTTAATTCTTCTTGGATTGCTACATTTTCTCAAGAAGTAAGAATTCCGCCATTTCTGTTTATTACCATTTTAATAACTTTTTACCCCACAGGCTGATATCCTCCAAATTGGATAGCAACATGAAGAACCAAAGCTAAAACACATTGTTAGATACATGGGGAAGGTTTGATTCTCCAAATAACTAATTAGTGGACTGACGCTTCCCCACCAGCTGGTACCATAAATGCCTCTACCACATTGTTCTGTAAAAACCATTTTTGGTCCAGAGGATTTCTTTGTCAGTGAAGGACATGCCCCACTCATTAAGCCATAAGAGATAGCCACAAGTCTAACCCTAGATTTTCAGCTACTTAGATCTTGCTTTTGTCTACCTAGTTCGATGCCCACACCCAACATTTTCTCTTTATTGCCACATACCTACAACAGTCCAGCTTGATATGGCCATTATCATAAGCACCCTCCACCTGCCTCCACCAAATTGTCTTAGTCACCTAGCCTTATCACCTTTGAGGCTTGTAGGGACAGTTCTATTTCATCTTTGGCTAAACATGCAGCTCAGGCCAGGATGTTTTTTTCTCTAAAGACAGAATTCTTGAAAGTGAGTACCTTTACCATAGACCCCCAAGCTACATTTTCTTTCACTGTTTTGCTTCTCTGATTTATTGAGCAAGACTAGGAGCTTGATCTTGTGACAGTCTTGGCAGTGTTAAACCTTGAGAAAAAGATACAGAAAGAACCCAAAAACTGCCCAGACCTTTAGAAACAATTATCATGTAGAAGGGAGATTTGCTTTCTCTGGGCCTAATCAGAATTAGGATTAGAGTTGGCATTAGAATTAGGTTGATATCACAAAGTATTAGGTTGTAGCTCAACATAAAGAACAATATCCTAAAGGTCAAACATCTCCAAAAGTGATATCTTCAGGAGGTGATATGGTTGCCGTTATGAGAGGTGTTCATTCTCTGGCTGGCATGCTAGATACCAGAGACCCAACAAGCAAGCAAAGTAGGTAGGTGTGGGCTTTCATGGAGTTTCCTTCCATTCTAGTGGCAGAGACAGATAATAAACAAGAAAACAAGTGAATTACAAATTGTGAGAAGCTCTCTGTGGAGTAATAAACAAGTTGTTGGGATAGAGAAAAGACACACCAAGTTAAGGCTGGCATAAAGAATCTCCAAGTGTCAAGGTCGTCTCTGTAGCCCCAAGTAAGGTCTCTTCATGTAAAGAATCTGTCATGATGTGGCTGTCCTCCTCATTCCAGAGACAGGAGGTGAGAGGTGTGTGCCTTTCTCTCCTTTGGGTTGTATTCTCAGAAGTCCACAGGACTAAAAAGGCTTTTCCAGTACTCCAATAGTAGGGTAGAGCAGCTACCAGCTGTCAGGGTTAAGTGAATCTTCAAAGAAGCACATTTACTGGTAAGTAGCCAAGTAAAGCGTTCCTTCTGTGCCTGAAAATATCTTGGCCTATAAGGGATATTTTTGTAGTAACAATGTTGTTTCGATTTGCCACCTAACTGTAACAGACTTCGTTAATATAATCAAAATTAGGGCAAATACATTTAACTGTCAAAAGTAATCACATCTGCTTTTTTAAAGAAAAGACTACCTAACATTTAAGAAACTAACAGTATATATGAATGAATCATAAGTGGTGTTTTTAGGACATCTATTCTGAAGTAGGGATTTTTAAAATAAGAGTGCCATTTTTAATTTTTAAAATATTCTAAAACTACCCCCCAACTATATCTTAACATTAGCCCAATTTTGATTGGGTTGGATATTTGGCAGGCAAGAATCTAAGTTATTTTCTGAAGTTTAGCAGTTAAACTTCAGCTTCAGTCTTATGGAGATGGGAGATAATAAAACTAGAAACAGAAACATACCAAAATGCCATGTTCTACTTATTACTTTGGGATTATTTTCTTTCCATACATATTGCTGCGATCATTTGGGTGTTGTTAATGGGAGAAGGCTATCCTACCCAGATCTTAACCAAAAGCATTGAAAAATCATTCTCCCCAACTGTGATTTTCCTGTATGGTTAGAAGTGTTTTATCTCACAAAATTAGGGCCACAGTTTGTTATACAGGAATTTATTTAAATGAGATGGGCCCATATTTTACTTTAACTTACAGAATACACATTTGTTTGCCAGTATTACAACCTAGGGTCTAGAGCCTTCTCTTTGGGGAAGGCTTTAATGAATGGAGTTCACCTCACCACTGGCTTATGTATAGCTTCTGTATATCATCTACAATTTCCATTTATGGTGTAAAAAGACTTTAAGGACCCTTGAAAAACGACCTGAGCTTAAAGTCATATGTTTTGCAATCTTTTCCAAAATCTTTCACAGTTGTTAATTATCCAAACGAGGTTTTTTTTTTTTTTTTTGAGTTGGAGTCTCACTCCATTGCCCAGGCTAGAGTGCAATGGCACAAGTGCCATGCTCACGGCCACCCCAGCATCAATCCACTGTGCTCCAGCGATCCTTCTGCCCTACTTTACAAGGAGCTGGAACTACAGGCAAATGCGACCATGCCCGGCTCATTTTTGATTTATAGTAGAGACAAGGTCTCGCCAAGTTGACTAAGCTGGTCTCGAACCTGCGTGCTCAAGCAATTCACTTACCTCTGCCTTCCAAAGTACTGGGATTACAGGATGAGCCACCGAGCCTGGCCACCTAAACTAATTTGACAGTGATTTTTTAAAAATGGCTTGCCTTTATCAAATCTTTCCAAAGCATATAACTTAGTTTTCCAAGATATGAGTATTTTATTTTTTGTCATTTTCTCCTAACATTTAGTTTAATTATGTATTGATAATAGCAATTACAACAGATATGAACCATTTTGTGGATAATTAAGATTGATTTTTGGCATGCATACCACCTCAGCTGAGGGAGAGAAGTTGCATATATGTGCTAGAGAGTAGTTCAACAGCATGGGCTTTCTGTGAGCCTTGGGCTCCGACTAGGACCTTCTGCCTATAGAATGAAGAACATCAGTTCATCCTGAGCCTACTTACGGGGAATTTCATTAAAAAAACCTTTCTGCCAGGCTCGGTGGCTCAGCCTATAATCCCTCGCCTTGGGAGACTGAGGTGAGTGGATTGCCTGAGCCTGCGGGTTTGAGACCTGCCTGGGCAACTTGGCGAGACCTCATCTCGACAATAAATCAAAAAATTAGCCGGGTGTGGTAGCGCATGCCTGTAATTCCAGCTACTTGGAAGGCTGAGGCAGAAGGATCGCTGGAGCCCAGCAGGTTGAGGCTGCGGTGGCTGGGAGCAGCCACTGCACTCCAGTCTGGGCGACAGAGTGAGACTCCAACTCAAAAACAAACAAACAAACAAACAAACAAACAAAAAACTTTCTACTGTATAACTTAAGTTGCAAGCAGCTTTCAACTTGGGATTTTGAGTTGACACTACATTATCCTTAATAAATTATAAACATTTCCTGGATGGACTTAGAGTCTATAATACTGAGTGATCTTTCACAGAAACGAAGAACTGAGTATTACATGTTCTCACTCATAAGCAGACCTTGAACAATTATTGTAATACTTTAAGAAAAGGATTGGCAGTAGCGGGAAACTACCAGGAGAGGGGGATGGGGAAGTGAGATTGGCAGTAGTAGGAATCTGCCTGGGAAAGGGGGGGGCGCACCTCTACAACAAGGATACCTGCATAATGAACATTTGTATGCCTAACCCTGAATTGAACCCCACATCTTTAAAATAAAAAAAATTATAGACGTTTTTTAGAACAATAGAAAAAATGTTAGTGAGAGTTACCAGAAACACAAGTCATTAACAGAAGGAAGCAAATGAATGAGTTATGATATTTATAGTAGTTTTACATCAATTGTATTGTAAGTAGATGAGTTGATACCTTTATACAACCATTGATTACTGTGTAATCAAATTTCTAACAGATACAAGGATTTGTATTTAGAAATAAACCTAAGTTCTTAATTATGAAGACTGACTCTGAGACACACAGGAATCAACTCAAGAATATGAATTTTAACTCTTCCCACTGACCTCTGCAAAGAAGCGTATAGCCTAAGAGACAAGGTATCCTCTTCTAGGAATTGACTTTCTAATGAAGCCAAATCCAGAACTGTCCATTTCTTGAGCCATGGGTCACATCTGTCTTCTTCATCTTCTTTATCCCCAATACCTGATAAGTGTGAATTTGACCCTCCTACCATCTGTGAACAATGACAGTAGCCCATTTTTTGGCTTAAGCTCATGTTAATTTGTGTTTGTGGGCATCCAGATTATATAGACAAGGCAAAGTTATGCAGGACTAAAAAATACAAAATGCTTACTGGAGCATTCATAAACAGTCATTTTCTCTTTCCATAAAGATGTTGAGAACACATAAATATATTTAAGGCAGTTTAAATTCAGTTAGTTGACCTGAAATAACATTATGGAATAGAAATAGTAATTCAAGAAATGGTTAAAACTGTGTTTCCTCTTTCAGAAACATTTGCAGAGCCATCCCTGCAGGCTACTCAGATGAAGTTGAAAAGAGCTCGGCTAGCAGATGATCTGAATGAAAAGATTGCTCAAAGACCTGGTCCCATGGAACTGGTAGAGAAAAACATCCTTCCTGTGGACTCCAGTGTTAAGGAAGCAATTATAGGCAAGACTCTAAAAATTTACTATTTTCTGGGAGAAACAGAAACTTGGATGTTTTAGATAAAACAAATAGAATGAAAAGGCCAGCACCAATCATGAGCATTGTTTTCCGGGTTAATTAGAAATTAACTTATACAATGATTCTTGTGGTGGTTATATTAAGTATTATAAGATTAACATCTATTAACAGATTTGTTCGATTTGAGGTTTAAGTCTTACATTCTGATTTCATTATCCATGTTCTAAGTTAAACTTACTGTTTTGTACTGCTTAGTTTCTGTTGTTTAATATTTTTACACACTTTTCATTATTTTGCTCCTGTCTACTTCTAGGAAAGATAAATAACTTGTTCAATGTTAGTTCAGGAAGATGAATAGCTGATGAGTGTAGATGTATTCATTAAGAATCAAAATATCTGGTCATTTAATCCTGATCTTATTGTATTTAATTACTGATGTTTGTAACATAAACTTTAACCCAAAAAAAGAAAATCATTTTAAGAATAATGCTCCCTAATCAGTTTTGAAAAGTTAATGTCCTATCTTAAAACTGTCATGGTTTTCATTACTCCTGGGGGCTTCATATTTTGCATTAGTGTGAGTTTAAGGTTTAAGCAACTTGTAGTCAAGAATTCTAAGTAGTGCAGTCAACTATGAGTCCATTCAGTCCTAAAGAGATGGGCCCTAAAAAGTAGGATGTCATTGTTGCTGGGCTGCTCCTTGAGGTGGGACCTTATCAACAGATACCCAGTCATTGCCCCCATTTTCTTCATTGTCTCATGTTTTTTAACAGTTGGATTCTGGGTCAGGAACCAAACAAGATACACACATTGCCTCTAGCCAGTACGTCTCTTAAATCTTAAGATTAACAAGGATACCTGCATAACCAACGTTTGTATACCTAACCCTGAATTGTACCCCACATCTTTATAATAAAATAAAAGAGAGAGAGAAAAAAACTTAAGATTTATACATTGGGTGGGTCTTCTCCTCTTTTTTTTTTTTTTTTTGTCATAGTCTCATTCTGTTACCCACGCTGGAGTACAGTGGCATGATCATGGCTCACTGCAGCCTCAGTCTCCTGGGCTCAGGCGATCCTTCTGCCTCAGTCTCCTGAGTAGATGAGATAGCAGGTATGTGCCACTATGTCTGGCTAATTTTTGTATTTTTTGTAGAGACAAGGTCTCACTATGTTGCCTTGACTGCTCTTGAACTCCTGGGCTCAAGCAATCCTCTTGCTTCAGCCTCCCAAAGTACTGGGATTACAGGTGTGAGCCACTGCGACCAGCCTCCTTGTTTTTTCTTACTACTTACTTGTTGATGAAACAGGCTTGTTTTGTCTTCTAACATGTCCCACATTGACCCATCATTGCATTTGCATCCCCAGACATCATTAAAACATCCCTGTACCCTATACTTCCTGTAACTGGTAGTTGGATCTGAAGACTTGAGCTAATTTGGGCTTGACTTTTTGTTCCCCCAAGAATATATCATAGGTAATGGTGTGTTCTTCCATTGGGAAGTACTTTATGTTCAATTTTTTTTTAACCAACTTGTTAAATTTTCATAGGAAACAGTGTTTCTCCTTTTTCATATTATGCTTACATAAACAATCATTTCTTTCTTTAGGCGTTGGGAAAGAGGACTATCACCACACTCAGGGTGAGTTCTCGTTTGACGAAGACAGCAGTGATGCTTTGTCTCCAGACCAGCCTGCAAGCCAGGAGTCACAGGGGTCAGCTGCGTCCCCAAGTGAGCCAAAAGTTAGTGAATCACCATCTCCTGTGACTACAAACACTCCAGTCCAGGTATCATCTTTCTGGTTTTGACCCCTAAGTAGAGAAAGTGCCTTGCTTTTTATATATCAAGGTAATGCATTTTCACCAGAAGAAAAATCGGAAATGCTAAAAAATTTAATAGTCTTTTCTCCTATAATCCAAACCTGTTAACATTTTTAAATCAATTCTTACATAATTATTTTTGTGCTGTATACGTGTTTTTATTTTACAAATAGTTTTGTAACTTCTTAGAAATTTTTATAAAACATTTTCTGACTTACAATTTCACTTACTATAAAATTCACCTTTTTTGTAACCATCTTAGGCCATTTTCAAGTGTGTAGTTCAATAGTGTTAAGTATATTCACATTGTTGCTGTGCAGTAGATCTCCGGAACTTTTTCACCTAGTAGAATTGAAATAGTACCCATTAAACAACTCTATTCCCATCTGCTCAATCCCTAGTAACCACTATTCTGCTTTTGGTCTCTGTGAATTTTACTACTCCAGGTACCTCGTAAAAGTAGAATCATACAGCATTTGTCTTTTTTTAAATTGACTTGTTTCACTTAGTATAATGGCTTCAAGCTTCATCCTTATTGTAGCATATGATAGGATCTCCTTCCTTTTTAAGGCTAAATGGCATTCCATTGTGTGTGTGTGTGTGTACATTTTGTTATCTGTTCATTAGTTGGTGAACATTTGTGTTGCATTTGTCTTGGCTATTGTGAATAATGGTGCTATGAACATGGATGTGGAAATATCTCAAGACTCTCCTTTTAATTCTTCTGTGTGTGTGTCCAGGGGTGGGATTATCAGATCATTTGGTAGTTATAGTCTTAATTTCTTGGAAGAACCTCAATATTGTTCTCCATAGCTGTTGCATTTTACAGTCTCACCAACAGTGTACATGGGTTCCAATTTCTCCACATGCTTCTGCATGGTGCACACCATCATGCCCAGCTAATTTTTTTCTTTTTTTAGAGATGAGGTTTCACTATGTTGCCCAGGCTGACCATGAACTCCTGGGCTCAAGCAATCCACCCACCTTGGTCTCCCAAAGTGTTGGGATTACTGGCATGAGCCACCACACCCAGCCGATACTGAGCATCCTTTCATGTGTTTAATGGTTATGTGTGTATCATCTTTGGAGAACTGTCTTTTGCCCATTTTTTAATCTGGATATTTTTGTTGTTGAGTTATAGAAGGGTCTCTATATATTCTGGATAGTAAATCTTTATCAGATTTATGATTTTATATGATATGGAATATTTTCTCCCATTCTATGTGTTTCCTTTTCATTCTTTTTGAATTGTGCCCTTTGATGTTTTTAGATTTGATATAGTACCATTTTCTTTTTGTTGCCTGTATTTTTGGTATGATATCTTTAAAAAATCATTGCCAAATCCAATGTCATGAAGGTTTTCCCCTCTATTTTCTTGCAGGAGTTTTATAATTTGGGGTCTTATGTTTAGGTATTTAATAATTTTGAATTAATTTTTGTAGTTGGTGTTAGGTAAAGGTCCACCTTCATTCTTTGCATGTGGATATCCAGTTTTCCCAGCACCACATATTGATGGGACTGTTCTTTCGTCACTGAATGGTCTTGGCACCCCTATTAAAGATCTTTTCATCATATAGGTGAGGGGTTTTGTTTTTGTTTTTTCTGGGCTCTCTATTCCACTGATACACAGGCATTTTTCAGAGATGAAGGTTAGATGCCAGACCACTGCAATAAAGCAAATATTGCAATAAGGCAAGCCACATAATTTTTTTTTTTATTTCCCAGTGCATATAAAAGTTACACTCTTTTGTAATCAGTTAAGGGTACAATAGCATGATATCTTTAAACAACAACAACATACATAGTTTAATTTAAAAATACCTTATTACTAAAAATGAAAATCTGAGCCTTCAGTGAACTTTCTGCTGGTAGAGGGTCTTGCCCTGATCTTGATGACTGCTGAATGATTTGGGTGGCGATTGCTACAGGCTGGGGTGACTATGGTAATATCTTAAAGTAGGACAACAATGAAGTTTGTCACATCAACTGAGTCCTTCCTTTCATTAAATATTTCTCTATAGTATGTGATGCTGTATGATAAGATCTTACCCACAGCTTCTTTCAGAATTGGAGTCAGTCTCAAACTCTACTGGTGCTTTATAAACTAAGTTTATGTAGTGTTCTAAATCCTTTGTTGGCATTTTAACAGTGTTCATAGCATGTTCACCAGGAGTAGACTGCATCTCAAGAAACCACTTTCTTTGCTCATCCATAAGAAGCAAATCTTCATTCATTCAAGTTTGGTCATGAGATTGCAGCAATTCAGTCTCATATTTAGGCTCCACTTCTAATTCTAGTTCTCTTGCAGTTCCTTTTTCCACTGGAGTATTAACTCTTCTAAGTCATTCGTGAAGTTTGGAATCCACTTCTTCCAAACTCTTATTACTGTTGATATTTTGATCTCCGTATTTGTTCTATTTTGTTTTTTTTGAGTTGGAGTCTCACTCTGTTACCCAGGCTGGAGTGCCTTGGCACACTCACAGCCACCCCAGCATTGACCTGCTAGGCTCTGGTGATCCTTCTGCCTCAACCTTCCAAGTAGCCAAAACTACAGGCGTGCACTACTACACCTGGCTCATTTTTAAAAATTTGTTATAGAGACGAGGTCTAGCCAAGTTGCCAGGGCGGTCTCAAACCCTCAGGCTCAGGCAATCCACTTGCCTCAGCCTCCCAAAGTGCTGGGATTACAGGCTGAGCCACCGAGCCCGGCCCCGTGTTTGTTCTTAATGGTATCTAGAGTGATGAATCCTTTCCAAAAGGTTTTTAATTTGCTTTGTCCAGATCCATCAGAGGAATCGCTATCCATGGCAGCTATAGATTTATGAAATACATTTTTTGAAAAAGGCTTGAAAGTCAGACTTACTCCTTGATCCATGGGCTGCAGAATGGATATGATATCAGCAGGCCTGAAAACAACATTAATTTCCTTGTACATCTCCATTGTAGTGCTCTTGGGCAACCAGGCACATTGTCAGTGGGCAATAATATTTTGAAAGGATCTGTTATTTGAGCAGTAGATCTCAACAGTGGGCTTACAATATTCCATAAACCATGCTGTAAACAAACCGTCCAGGCTTTGTCATTCCATTTATAGAGCACCAGCAGAATAGATTTAGCATAATTCTGAAGGGGCCTGGGATATTCAGAATGGTAAGTGAGCATTGTCTCACACTTAAAGTCAATCTTTTCTTTGAAGCCAGGCATTGACTTATCCTCTCTTGCTAAGAAAGTTCTAAATGGCATGTTCTTCCAGTAGAAAGCTATTTCGTCTGCACTGAAAATCTGTGGTTTAATCTAGCTACCTTCATCAATGATCTCAGCTAAATCTTCTGGATAACCTTCTGTACTTCTCCATCAGCACTTGCAGCTTCATCTTGTACTTTTATGTTATGGAGACAGCTTCTTTCCTTAAACCTCATGAACCAACAACCTCTGCCAGCTTCAAATGTTTCTTCTGCATCTTTCTCACCTCTCTCAACCTTCATAGACTTGAAGAGGTTTAGGGCCTTGCTCTGGATTGGACTTTGGCTTATGGGAATGTTAAGACTGGCTTGATTGTCTATGCCAATCACTAAAACTTTCTCCGTGTCAGCCAAAGGCTGTTTGGTTTTCTTATCATTCATATGTTTACTGGAGTAACACTTTTAATTTCCTTCAGGAACTTTTCCTTTGTATTCATAACTTGACTAATTGTCTAGTCCAAAAGGTCTAGCTTTTGGCCTGTCTTGGCTTTTGATATGCCGTCCTCACTAAGCTTAGTGATTTCTAGCTTTTTCTTTTCTTTTATTTTAGTTGGAGTCGCACTCTGTTGCCTAGGCTGGAGTGCAGTGGCACAGTACAATGGCACAGTTTACACAGCCTCAACCTCTTGGCTCAGGTGATTCTTCTCCCTCAGCCTCCTGGGTAGTTGGAACTATAGGCATATGCCCTGATAATTTTTTACTGTTTTTGTGGAGATGAGGTCTGTCACTGTTGCCCAGGCTGGTCTTGAACTCCTGGGCTCAAGTGATCCTCTCACCTTGGCCTCCCAAAGTGCTGGAATTACAGGTGTAAGCCACCATGCCTGGCCTCTCATTTCTAGCTTTTATTTACAGTGAGCGACATATGTTGCTTCCTTTGACTTGAACACTGAGAGGTCATTTTAGGGTTATTAATCAGCCTAATTTCAACATTGTATCTCAGAATAGGAAGGCCTGAGAAAAGGGAGAGAAAACTGGGAACAGCTAGTCGGTGGAGCAGTCAGAACATACATAATATTTGTTGGTTAAAGTTTGCCATCTTATATGGCCACGATTTGTGGCACCCCAAAACAATTACAATAGTAACATCAAACATCACCAATCACATTACCGTAACAGATATATTAATCATGAGAAAGTTTTAAATACAACAAGAATTACCCAAATGTGACACCGAGACACAAAGTGAGCACGTGCTGTTAGAAAAATGGCACCGGTAGCCATGCTTTACTTGTCAATAAATACATATTGATATCCTTTTTAATGTCTGCATAGTATTTGCTTGAACTGATAACCTTATCTCATTTAACCATTTTCTTATTGTTGATTATCTAGAGTTGTTGCCTGTTTTTCACTCTCTTACTTATATAATAAGTCTCCTATTGTATTCTCACAAACTGGCTACACACTAATTTTTTATACATATATTGTTGGGCACTTACCTGATTATTGTTTTGGAAAAATTACCAGGATGTTGAAATGAACTCATTAGGCAAATGGTAGACACTTAACTGACTTCCAGGAAGGTAATACAGATTTCCAGTGTATTATCTTTACCACAAGTAGGTAATATCAATACCTTAAACCTTGGAGAATTGGATGTTTTAATTGACTTTTTTATCATTGGTGAGATTAAATTCATTTGTTTAGCAAATATTTACTGAGTACCTATTATGTTTTGGATTACACTGGGAAGTGAGAATCTAGTGTGTACAAAGAAATTTAACA